TTTATTTCAATTCTTGCTTGAGAGAGGGATTAGACAGAGGAGAGGATAATAGACTGCATCTGTCTAGGAAGTTTCTTGGACAATGTTTTGAGCTGTTAACATATATATATATATATATATGTATGTGTGTGTGTGTGTGTGTATATATATGTATTTTGGATTTAAAAACCATTGACACTATGCTACTTATTATGAATGTAGTGTAGGAAATGTTTTTAATATCATTCACTCTACCACACTGCTAGTAAGGATATAGCATAAGAAGTGTTTTTATAATGAACTACTATATTTTGATAGAGTGTTCACTTATCTCATTGGTTGAAAACTGGGTTACTGAGGTGTTGCATATTGATAAAGATAACTGTTATTGGTTGGTAAAATAAATCTTGGTAATTGAGCCTGCTGTAAATAGCTACATAAATAACTTGGGTTAAATTATTTCCATGTTTACCTAACTTGCTGTTTTGTTGACAGTCAAGTGTGTGTGTAACTTTTAAATCAGCCAAACTTTTGGTTCCCAGACATTTATGTAAGTATATCTTTTGCACATTTTCAAAAGACAAGGAGTTGGAAGTAGATAGTTTAAAATCTAGAGTTACTAATGAAATGTTTTCCACATCATTCACACTACTACACTACTAGTAATGATGTAGTGTAGGAGTTGGAAGTAGTTTAAAATCTGGAGTTACTAATTAAATGTTAATATGAATCAAATATGTTTTCTAAGAAGGGATGTCAGTGGTTAAAAAGGAGTTCAGAACAATTATTTATAAATATCTGTTATAATTTTGTGAAAATGGCATGGATTAATATCAATAAAAAGTCAATTTTTAAAGCTTTAAGGGAAAACTTGCCATGAAAAACAATATTTGCTCTAATATATGTAGAGTTTAAAAGTGCTCTGACAAATAATAACATATGCAGTGAATTATGACCTGAAATGACTAAAAGAATTGTTTCAAATGATCTTATTTGATTTTACTTTGATTTGGTGTAATTAACACTGATCCTTATCACAGGTGACCATTACCATTAAACAAGATCCTTGTAAAAAAATATATATTTATTTGAAAGATGCTTTCATGTACTCATTCATAGATACTGTAAAAGTTTAGAAGAAAAGTAACAGTACTGTCAGTTAATTCCTTGGTACATATTAATAAGGTATTTCTAAGTTCAAAAAATACTAGTCTTTTCTTGGCTGGAATTTCGTGGACAAACACCCATAAAGATAGTATTTGTTTTAAATAGTTAATAAAAATTATAGCTATGAGACAGATACTGCTGTTGGAACTTGGCTCTCATATCATATAGGACCTCAGCTTTTATTTCATTACTCTTGTTAATAGTTATTTTTCTCATTTTAGATACTTTAAATTAAAAATTTTATACAAAACACTTTAGATAGGTAAACAACACACAAGATAATACAACATATTGACTGTATGGAATATCAACTGCTTAGTGATTTGTCTTTGTTGGATATTTCCTCAAGCTTGCATTGGCTCTTTTATGGTATGATACACTTCTGGTCCTTTCCGGTGTTATGGCCTATTATGCTATACCCTATTGCAGCAACCTATTTTCTTTCTTTCTTTTTTTTAAATGGTCTTACCAGTGCTTCATAAAATTAACTCACGTTGAAAGTGTAAAATAATTACCAACTCATCTTGAATTTTTTTACTTTAGAAGAAAAGCTACATAGAGAGGTTTTACCAATCCAAAAAATATACACCTTTAGATCACACAAATACACCTTAGAAATGTCATTGGATCCTAGTTTTCATAGAATGAAATAAACATGATCTAGTTACCAAGTCCTAGTTTCTATAGAATGAGATAATTAACCTAGACCTTATAGAAGGAAATAATCAACCTTTTCTAGTTGCTAAATTGTAGTTCCTCAAGAATGAAATAAGATTAACCTATTATAGTCACAGAATCATAGGTCCCCTATATTGAGAAAATGAGGCTGTTCTAGCCACTTAGTCCTAGTTTTTAAGAATGAGGTAATCAACCTGTTCTATTTTCTGAGTTCTAGTTCCCCTAAAATGAGAAATAAACCTGTCACATTTTCTGAGTGCAAGTTCTCAAAGAATAAGATATCAATCTGTTCTACTCACCAAGTCTTAGCTTCTTTGGAATGAGATAATCAGCTTGTTAAAGTCACAAAGTCTTACATTCTTTGGAACAATATAATCAACCTGTTCTACTCACCAAGTCTTAGCTTTTACAGAACAAGATAATCAATCTGTTCTACTCACCAAGTCTTAGCTTCTTTGGAATAAGATAATCAGCTTGTTAAAGTCACAAAGTCTTACATTCTTTGGAACAATATAATTAACCTGTTCTACTCACCAAGTCTTAGCTTTTACAGAACAAGATAATCAATCTGTTCTACTCACCAAGTCTTAGCTTCTTTGGAATGAGATAATTAGCTTGTTATAGTCACAAAGTCTTACGTCCTTTGGAACAATATAATTAACCTGTTCTACTCACCAAGTCTTAGCTTTTACAGAACAAGATAATCAACCTGTTCTACTCACCAAGTCTTAGCTTCTTTGGAATGAGATAATCAGCTTGTTAAAGTCACAAAGTCTTACATTCTTTGGAACAATATAATCAACCTGTTCTACTCACCAAGTCTTAGCTTTTTTGGAATGAGATAATAAACCTGTTATACTCGCCAAGCCTTAGCTTTTATGAAGTTAGATGATCAACCTGTTTCAGTTGTGGAATCCCGTTAGTTCCAAATATATCCAATATTAGAAAAAAACGAACTAGCCTTTACTGAAAGAATCTGCTTTATTTGCTTCCCCCAAAGGAAGCTATGAATTAAAAATTTGTAAACATTTAGTACTGATGATTTTTTTTCAAAGGATGAAATGCATTTTGCAAACTTTAAAATTCTTATTTGAATCTAACATGTACATAATTTTGCAGCAAGTCAAAACCTGGGCTAACAGCTAAAATTGAGGAGAATGAGCAATATGTATGTATATATATATATAAAGCAGTAATAAGCATTTCATATGTAGTATAAAATCATCTTGGAAGAAAGTAATGATTAATAATAAAATGTATATCTTACTGGACAAATTGAGTAATCAGGTAAGAGTGAAGAATATCAGTGTGAATGAAAGTCCTCCTTGAATATTGGTTTACCAAATATGTGTAAGTTGCACCTGTTCAACACTTATAAAAAATATCAAACATCATTCTGTATCTTAATATATACCTCTTTAATTCACAAAATAGATAAAACAACCTCAATAACAAGTCTATTTTTTGTAGTGTGCATCTGTTTGATCCTTATCAAGATAAAATAACATACTAACAAACCATTTTTGTCTTTTCTAATCCTGTGACCGAACACGTTCACTTTTTCAGCCGTGGGGGCATTATAACGTGATGGTCAATCCCACTATTTGTTGGTAAAAGAGTTGGCGGTGGGTGGTGATGACTAGTTGCCTTCTCTCTAGTCTATCCCTTCAAAATTAAAAACAGCTAGTGCAGATTTTAAAAAATAAAATTATCTGTTTTAGTATGATCTGTTTGATAAAGCAACTTTAATGACAAACCTCCCTGTGTTTTCTTTTTTTTTGTATGCATCTAGTTAGATCTTATCAAGATAAAGTAACTTTAGTGCCAAACCTCCCTGTGGTTTTTGTATGCATCTAGTTATATCTTACTAAGATAAAGTAACTTTAGTGCCAAACCTCCCTGTGGTTTTTTGTATGCATCTAGTTAGATCTTATCAAGATAAAGTAACTTTAGTGCCAAACCTCCCTGTGGTTTTTGTATGCATCTAGTTAGATCTTATACAAGATAAAGTAACTTTAAGTGCCAAACCTCCCTGTTGGTTTTTGTACTAGCTATACTAGTTAGAATTCTTTACTAAGGATAAGTAACTTAGT